TCAGAGATTAACGAAACTGATCACAGTGCTTCAATCTATTCTCTTCAAACCCATTTAACTTAATGAAACATGTCTTACGCCACTTCTTTCGGTTTGATGCTTGGGCTTCCCAGGTTTTCAGGTCAAAGTTGAGACGTTTCAAGGTGTATTTCAATTTGTCTTTGTAGCGTAAGAGTCGATGTCCAACTGAATGCTTGGAATTTGGTAGTTCTCCATACAACACCTTCTTTGGAAGCCCATGCTCATCTATTCTCACAACACGACCAGCCCACTTAAGTTGTATCTTTGCTATAATGATTTCAATGCCTGTGATGTTGTTACATTTCTTCAGTATTGCATTATTCTTGACCCTGTCATCCCATTTTATATCCCATATTGCACGAAGACAGCGCATGTGAAAGGTGTCAAGTTGATTTATGTGCTTGCGGTATAGGGTCCAAATTTCAGCACCACAGAGAAGGGTTGAGAGAACGACTGATCCGTATATGTCGATCTTTACTCTGAGAGACACGTCTTTGGTGTTACAGATCACAGTTTAGACGTAACTGATTATTACTGTGTTGTTGAATATTTTGTCGAGAGTACTTGACGCGGGATCGTTTCTGTGTATGACATTAATGAATAATTTACTTATGTTTTATTGTAACGTAAGGTAAACCATATGAAGTTTATTTTCCTGTATATGATTAAGGAATGTGTGTACGCCATCCCATGCAGCTATAGCGGCGAAAAAGGCCACCCACTTAACATAAGACAACAAGAACGCCGTAAAGCCGTAACACGAAGTGAAATAGAGAAGTCGGTCATCGCTGATCATATATGGAGGGAAAAGTAAAACCACCGCTCTCTTTGGGATGAAGTTGAAATAATAGACAGAGAACATCACTGAGAAATACGAAAAGTTAAGGAATCAGCATATATGCTAAGCCAGAGAAATCTTAACCTGACAAGCATAGACACGAATACAATATGGGAATCAATACAATGATAACAACAAATTGTATTATGAGCTCAGTTAAAAAATGTCATTAGGTTTAAAAGTTCCAAAAATTCCCAACCCATAGTCGATAAAAGCGTTGGTTGAAGTGAATAAAAACGTGGAGAGTTGAATTACTAAAAAGTGAGGTAACCGAAACTGAGTTATCCAGAAAGGTAAGGGCAGGTAGACCTACACCAAACTGCCCCGGTGGACGAAATAAAGAGTTCGGTTTGAAATTCCAACGTGTTATCACCTGAAGAAGGCCGGAGCGTACAAAGGCTGAAACTTCGGGAATATTGCAATAGTGAAAATAATAGGCAGAGTACATCACTGGGAAATACAAAAACTAAAAGAATTAGCGCATATGCTAGGCCACAGAAATTTCCTAAGCTGACCGAGTGTAGAAAGGAATTCAATATGAGAACCGGTAATAAGGAGTGCTAGAGAAAAGAACAGAAATAAGAACAAATTGTAAATGATTGTAAAAAGATTATTACTGAGACACAAGGTTTATAAGTCTCCAAAACACATTCACTGATGTCCCACATTGAGCAGTGATTAAAAGCGAAAGATTTGTTAGTTCGATTCCTGACCACAGCAGAAGTGAATAATAAACTTGGATAGTTTAGTTACTAAACGGAATTAAGTGAAACAGAGAAGTATAGAAAGGGCATGGTACGTGGAACTAGAACAATCTACCTCAGTGGACTAAATAAACGGTTCTGTTTGAAATTCCAACGTATATCACATGAAAAAGACCGGAGTATACAATGGTCGAAACGTCATGAATATGGTAATAAAAGGGAGGACAAGAACCCGCAGGTTTTGAATTGAGAGGTTTCCTTCTCCTAGATCACTTGCCGTTCAAGGGCATAGAACCAAGTCTACCCTGCTATTTACCCACAGCTAGAAGAAGAAGATTCATAATTTTCCCAAGAGTATTAGCACGACTGGAATTCGAACTCGGCTCTCCGATTCATCAATTAAAGCCGCTATCCATAACTCCACCGTGCCTCCTCATATATATATATATATATATATTGTGTGTGTGTATTTAGGCAGCATTTTTTCATGTATTGTCTATTTATTTTATGTAAATTCTTTTCATAACGTCTAATAAGCTTAATAACATTATTAAACGAAGAAAGAACATCACAATATTGATACAGAAACAGACTCTCATCACTGTCTTGTCCGTGTATTGCTTAATATATTGTACAGTAATTGTCATCTTTGATAATGGCTTATGTAAGCCGAAAGCTTAGATAGGATTAAAAAATATGTATCGATATTTTGATTTTCTTTCTTAGTTTAATGTTAATGTTTTGACGTTATTAAAAGAATTTACATAAAGGTTACATAACCTTATTCTCCCGATCTTGATACTTCAGACTATCATTTGTTTCGTAGCTTACAGAATCATTTGTAAGAAACAGCTTTTGTAACACAGGAAAAGGTTAAAACTGACATTTATGAGTTCTTAGAATCAAAGCCAAAATAATTTTACAGTAATGGAATTAGTAAGCTTGTTAATAGATGGAAGGAAGTCATAGATAATCAGGGAAAATACATTGTTGATTGAATCTGTAATTAAATGTAACATTTGGTCACTTGTTTTCTTTATTCAAAATTCGGACAGAACTTATGGGATGACCTATATATATATATATATATATATATATATATATATATATATATATATAACGGAACATTAGTACTGGTGATAGCGTCTAGCATGAAACAGGCTGTCGCTTCTGAGGGTTAATATCTATGTTCATTTTATATTTATATACGCTCTTTCTATATTTCTTCAAATTTCAGTCATGATAGCTTATGCATCCTCATTCAGGTGGACACTGTGATTGCTGAACAAGATTAAATGTGCCTGAGTTGGTGGCTGCAACAGAGATCAGCTAGCTGCCTTAGGTGACGGATCTGTTTTGATTATATAAATAAGCGATTGGGTATTTAAGCATAACATTTTCATTTAAACTATTTGGCGTGTTTCACGTGGTGTTGAATAAGTCGTTTGATGCCGGCTAGAAACGTGCGTAATGTTGCGAGTAATTTCGACCATCATTGATAGAAGCGAACCAGTGAGGCGTTTTGGGTTTTTTTTTTTTTTATGGGGGGGGGCTTTTGGCGGCACCGTGTTTAAAATAAACGTGGGTTGGCATCCGATGGCGATGAAGAGATTTTAGCATCATGCGGTTAAAAGAACATTACGGTTCAAAACCGTTTTAACACATGCACGCCGAGATTGAAACAAAATGTTTAATTGTTTTTCACAGATGGATTGACATAGTAATACCTTAGAGCTGACCATAATATGGCGAATAAATAAGCAATAACAGTTGAAAATTACCGGAAAATTACATATAATTTCGATGGGTTCCTTTCAATTTTCCACCCGACATCAAGCAATTTATTCAATGCCAGGAGAACCTTAACCAAAGGCCTAACAGTCATTTACTATCCGACACACACACACACACACACACACACACACACACACACACACACATATATATATATATATATATATATATATATATATATATATATATATGATAAACAGAGACAATAGGAAAAGCTATTCTTAGCCGACGCGTTTTCGTCCATCGAGGGACTTTATCAACGTTTGACTTGATAATGTCCCTCAGCTAAAATAGTTTTTTCCACTTGCCTCTTTCTATTCCTTTACAGATTATCTATCTGCAAATATATATATATATATATATATATATATATATATATATATATATATTATAAATTAACTGATTTAAAATATTTTTCTACACAGTTCTAACCATGTTTCAAGAATGGAAGCTGAAAGCTTCAAATTTCATTTGTAATTAAATTAAAGACATTAGTTCCATTTCATCCTCTCTCTCTCTCTCTCTCTCTCTCTATATATATATATATATATATATATATATATATATATATATATATATATAGCCTTTCGAAGCGTCGTATACTGGCTTTTAGTTTCAAGAGAAAATAAAGTCAAAACTATTCAAAATGTGCATATTCATTTATTATATCTAAGCTTTCGACTTACATGAGCCATCATCAGAATGGTTATATAGACATTACAACAGAGCCGAAAGCTTAGATCGACGACCAATATAATAGAGGAATATCCAAATGTTGGACAGTTTTTTGTCTTTATTTTTTCAATTGAAACGGACGCCATTATACGACATATGGAACGGTTTTATGATAAAACATAACAGACCCTCGATTTTCTGCTATATTTGATAATATGTTTTTACTCATGATCTGCCGTCTGTATACATTATATATATATATATATATATATATATATATATATATATATAAGAATAAGCGAAGTGTAATTTTGAAAAGCTGAAAAGAAAAAGCGGTTTTGTCCCAGCCCTTTCTAGTTTATTTTATGGAATATAAAAATATATAAGCATGTAAATTAATATAACGAATGGGAGGAAAAAAAATGAATTTCAAGAAAACTAGAATCCAGTAAGCATTCCGTCTGTTTACAAAGGGAAGGCCCAAGGGATCTGATATACAAGGATTCTAGAACCTTGAGGTGCTATGAGGAGTGGGATTTTATCTAGGTCCCACTCCTCATATTTTTCCATTCATTCTTTACAGTTTTCTTTTCGTCTATACGGTGGAGTAATAGATAGCCGCTCGGATTATGGAATAGGAGAGCCGAGTTCGAATTCCAATCGAATCCATTACACTCATTTACGTACTAAAAGGTATGAAACCTCTTCTTCAAAGCTATGGGTAAATAGCAGAACAGACGGGGTTTTTAGCCTTGGAAGGCAACTTGTCTACCGCAGAAAGAAATGGCAACCTACTGTGGGAAAAATCTGCCTCGTCAGTCATGTATCGAAAGTTACATGGTCACCTTAGCGTGTAACACTCATGACATATAACCGACTAATTTTATCTTTTAATTTTGTTTTTTCTTTAATTTTCAGACTAGATTCCTTCCGAGATTATTTCAATTTTCATTCTTTATCTCTTTCAGTTTCGACATTTTTATTCTTCTCGGCTTTTTTCTTCTTCGATTTTTCTTTCTTTTTTTCTTTCATTGCTTCTTCAAGTATTTTCTCTATTTTCTTCTTGAATTTTCAAAGTAGATTCCTTCATAGATTATTCTTTCTTTTTTCATTCATTTTTTCTTTCTTTCTCAATTTTAACTTCTCTCCTCCCCCCGTTTTTTTCGTGAAATTTCGATCTAGATTCCTTCTCAGAATATTCTTTCCTTTTTTCTTTCCTTTTTCATTCATTTCTTCTTTCTTTGTAACGGTTTTGTTATCTTTCCTTTCGCCGTTTTTTCTTCTGAAAGTAAATTCCTTCTTTTTTCTTTCTTTTTTTTAATTTTTCATTCATTACTTCTTGGTTTTTCATCGTGTTTCTTCTTCTCCTCTTTCTTCGTTTTTTTTCTTCTTTAGTTTTAAATCCTGATTCTAAAACACATTTTTCTTTCTTATTAATTTCTTTTTTTCTCGCCGTTTTTCTTCTTCTCTTTCTTCTTTTTTCTTCTTAAATTTTCAAATCTAGATTCCCTCCTGAATTTTTTCTTTCCTTTTTCATTTCTTAATTCTTTCCTTTTTCACCGCTATAGTCTTTCTTTCTTCCTTCTTTTCAGACGATATTTTCTTCTTTCACTTATCATAGCATTTTTGCTTATTTTTTACTTCTTCCTCAATTATCTTTCAAGATTTCCTCCATGTTTTATTCCTTTCTATTTGGCTTGATAGTTTCTCTACGATCTGAAACTTAGTCCTAGCTTTTCTACTCTTTACATTCTATACATCTTGACTTGTTTTTTTTTAAACACTTTGTGAATATTTACTAAACTGCCCCCTTGCCTGGCACAAGGTCACAACAGTAATTTTTCAGCCAGCAAGGAGACTAACATGCCTCGCATGACGGCCGTCACCTATCGACCATGTAAGTGTAGGTTTCCCACTTTGGAGAGCTTGCAAACTGAGTACTTGACATAGCTACCAAACTAATTTAGCTTTGACAAAGTCGCTAAGTGCAGAGAAGCAATGCTTCTCCATTACAATCAATGAACATTGGGCGGAAGGCCGAATGTGGACGGAGGCTTCGCTACTTTGCCTTTGCAATGCATCAAGTTTATGACAGGCGAGTCAGTCCGGAACAGAAAAGAGAGAGCCGGGAAAGATTTACTGTCTAGCAATTTATGTGTTTCTCTGTAGATTCGTATCTTTTATATCTCGCAATCTGGCAGTCCGTTGAAATATCCTCTCTCTGTCTCTCTATCTCTCTCACATACTCACGCACACACGCAGACGCACACACACGCACTCTCTCTCTCTCTCTCTCACACACACACGCACACATATATTTGCTCATATATTCAATTCAAGCTACATCTCTTTATTTCTATCACGGTTTTTGTATATCAGTAACATTCTATATCTATCTATCTCTCTCTCCCTTTCTCTCTCTCTCTCTCTCCCTTTCTCTCTCTCTCTCTCTATATATATATATATATATATATATATATATAGGGTGACCCAAAAAAACGGGAACTATTTAACAATCCACTAAAACCAAGAGTGATGGAAGAAAAATATTTTATTCATAGTAATTGAAACCTTAAAACATGCCATTTCAGAAACAATGATGGAATTTCCATTTTTTAAATATTACGTCCTGTAGATGGCGTCCTTCTGTACGAATACATTCTTGAAATCTGCTGTTGAGATTCCTCATTGACTGCTGTAACATCTCAGCTGGGATACCTTGAATTTCATCTTGAATTCAAAATGGCGAAATGTTTACTTGCTCAAAGTCACTGCCTCGCAGTGTAGCCACTTACTCATGTCTGGCAATACGCACTTCAAAAATTCCCGTTTTGGGGTCACCCTGTATATATATATATATATATATATATATATATATATATATATATATATATACATTTATATATATATATATATGAATTGGTATCACCCATGCAGGGCAGTAAAGCCACTAAGACACAAGGGTTTGCAGGGTGCGAAAGAATTTGTAACAGAAACATTAATAATGAGGAGAAGAAAAGTCAGTCAGGAGGACTGTGGGTAACGATTGACATTGCATATACATTTTTGCAGATTAAATTTGTCTGGAAAGCATGGAGCTAGAAGAGAGTCCTACAAGCGAAAATGGCGAAAAAAGAAACTGCTAGCATTAAATTACCGGCTACATATAGCCAGCTCAATTTTAAATTGATGAAATCTCGATTCCAGTCTAGTACTGGGTTTAATTTTAAAACAGTCTACGTACCATATCGAAGAGATTATCTGAACAGTTACTTTGAAAGTATTTATAGAAAAAACATAGAAATGCAACCTTACAACAGAAGGGTAATTGACTGAAGCTGAGTGTCCAGATCAGGACTAATAATATTGCTGATCCTTCTTTGGATCTTATCAAAGAGCTCAAGGTAAATAGCAGGGACACTGGACCATATATTCAATATTCTAAGAATGGAAGAATGGTAAAATTTATACATAGGTAAGATAGATTCTGGAGAAACACTTTCTTAGAAGCTTGACCTAGCAGTGGATTCAACATAGTTTTTCCACTTCATGTCAAACTATATTAAATCCATTGCTCGGATATAGATAGATAGATAGATAGATAGATAGATAGATAGATAGAATTCTATATAAATCACATTACCGGAAACATCTGGCTATTTGAAAGGCCCTATATTTTAAACATCTCTCTCCTACTATCAACCTTAACTTATTTAAAAGTGGAAATGGAATGTTAGAAGTGTTTTTAAATAGAAAGACGCTGACGCGAATTCCAGTTCCTATTGAAAACAACCTAAAAAATAAAATATAGCTTAAACAGTCAAACACGAAAAACATAACCCGCTTCAAAATCACTAAAGAAGTGAATAAAATCGCTTGGGACTATGAAAATTATGGAATATATCCGTAATTCCTTACCCCAAGAAAACGAAAAACGTAATGATGGTGTAAAAATAAATAAAAAATTAATTAAATCTTTTTTGTCTACCATATTTAATGAAAGATATTTCAAGAATTGTTATTCCCCAAATATACATCAGCGCATATATATATATATATATATATATATATATATATATATATATATATATATATATATTATAAAGAGATAATCGTACATTGAATCAATTAGCAATATTAATGCGATTAATATGAATTTTGTAATTTGGTAAATCCACGAATTCTTTTGTTGTAAATGTTTTCCAGTTAACGTGACATGAACTAATTACATAGTTCAATTAATAGAGTGATATGTCTTAGTAGTTTTTTTTTCTCTGGAATTTCGTACTGCAGATCAATTGTTTTTATGAACGTATTATATTAGGCAGCATATATTTTATATTATAAAGAGATAATCTTACATTGAATCAATAAGCAATATTAATGCGATTAATGGCGAAATCTCTTCGCTAATAGGCTTAATATAAGCATTAATCTATTAACAATCCACTGACTGATGCGATGCTTATGTGTGTGCGTGTCTATCTGTGTCTTCCTGTCTATCATTTTTTTCTTTCATGTATACATTAGTAAATGAACACCGGGCAACAACTTTTCATATATACATCGGCATCGTAAATTAGCTAGACGTTAAATTTGGATCGTATAATGATTTTGCTCATTTATTGTGTTTAATGTCAGCACAAATGTCTCCATACTTTACCGACTTCTGTTTTTTTTTTTTTGTTTTTTTTTTAGGTCAACGAATCTGAAGTCGATTTATGCAACTTATAATAACTCATATATATCTGTATCTCACTCCTTTAAACCGTTATTTAAATTCTCGCCTTAAAATTTTATTCCTCATCCTCGCCTTAGGTTATTTCCTATTTTTCTTTGGTTACACTTCTCTCTAGAGCTTCCATACGTTTCTCTCTCACCTTCGTTTCTCACTGCCACATGTACACTTTCGTTTAATTTGTTTTCGTAAACCCGGAAATTTTCTGTTTTTTTTTTGCATTTGTTGGCCTGATGAATTGGATCGTAATTACGATTCCAATGTAATAAATTATAACCATGAAATATTAGTATTTGAGCCATATATATATATATATATATATATATATATGGTATATCAAGAGATATTTTACAAAATCTGGTGGTGGGTTCCAGACATTAAAACAAGATAAAATGCCCGTATAAATTTATGTCCGAAAGGCCATCGTTGTACCTTAACACAGCAACTAATAACAAATGTTCAAAATGTCCTGTCTTTGCCTGTACACAGGCAGGCACCCGTCGGATCATTGACTGGTGGGGTCATTCATATACTTCCCATGACAGGCTCCCATGAGACGTCGATGAATCGTCTCTTTCTCATGAATGCCCGCTGCATAAGCAAAAGGAAGCCTAAAATTAGATGTCAGCCAGTTCATCGGGGACAATGGGACTAGAATGTGCTGGATGTTCTAATGCATGAAACACATGCGCCTTCCTCTTAGCATGGGCACAGCTTCTAGCATTTTCCCAAAATTGAGTCGATTTCTCCGTGACCCGACGTAGCTACAGAACTGGGGAGTATTAGAGATGCTACTTAAATCTACTGAATTTTTTTCACAATTTTAAACGGGTTCCACATACGCGCGCACGCACGCACGCACACACACACACACACACACACACACACACACACACACACACATATATATATATATATATATATATATATATATATATATGCATGTTTCATTAGAAAACGACAGACAAGGTACTACGGTTAAGCTTTTTTATTTAATTTTTTTCTTGTGTTCTGACAAGTGCTTTCTTTTTCTAGACAAAGGTGTGTAAGAACTGTCAAATGTTTTATATTTCTGGAGGCGCTTTCAGCTATGCCTTTTGCCATTATGAAGGATGATTCGATTTTTCAGCTTAATTGAGTGTGTGCGTTCCTTGTATGTCTTAGTGTGTGGGAGGGATGTTTTTAATTTCTGAATACGTTTAGCACATTGTGGCCTTGTTCGTATTTAATATTGTTAAGAGTTGGCTTTTTCTTTTTTATTATTAAAGATTCCATTATTTTTAATCTTTTTTTTACAGGTGGATGCAGTTAATATATTTGTGTTTTCATACAAGTATGTTTCTAATGGATTCTGGTAAATTTGTGTGTGTGTTTAAATGGGTTCTAATGGAGTTGTGATCAGATAGGTGTAACGTAAGACGTCTGGATAAGCATGTAGTTGTGTAACCGATGTAATTATTTATGAGTCCGATTTGATCAGGAACACAATTCCTTAAGGGGCATTTGAACTCATAGATAATATTTGTTCTTTGTAATTTTGACTTAGTTGGTGTGTTGTTATTTTTGAGGATAAGGTTAGCTGTCTTAAATTTTTTTATAATAGATAATTAATTTGATTTTTTTTATTCGGATCAGTTAGGGTAGTGTATTTTTTTATAATATATATATATATATATATATATATATATATATAGGTAACTATACTCATTTCGAAAAACCTTCTAATTTTTGATTTGCCAATAATCAAATCAATCTCGAAGGAAAAAAAGGTTTTAAAAAAAGAAAGAACTAGAAACATGAAAGTCTGTCGAAAAAAATCGCACAGATACAGGTTTGAAGCCCAAAAAAACCCGATACGAGTAAACAACTTACTAACAAAAGAGCTCAATACAACCGTAGAGCAGACCTAGATAAACCTAGTGAGCCAGACGAACCTACCCAGGTTTCACCTAAGCGGATCGTC